GAGAGAGAGAGTGTGTGTGTGTGTGTGGAAATACACAAAAATAAAGAAAGATTAAGTACGTAAAATTAATTAATTGTTGACGTGTTGCTGCGCTCCTGTTAGGCAGGAGCACACATCTGATTTGAACGATTGACTTCACTTGATTTGATTAGATTAGTACAGTGGCTTCTCCACGCCAATGTCCACCAGAATTCGCGTGTACAGCTTCTTCAGGGTGATCTCCAGTACGTCGTACAGGACGCTGTTCAGGCCGTCGGTTTTGAGGCGAAGGGGGCCGCTGTTGTACTTTGCCAAACTAGGGTTGTGGTGGGAAGAGAGAAAAGAGGTTAGGCAGTTAAAAGTTAACAGCTTTTCCAGTTCGCTTTTACCGATCAGGACTGGGCTCTGCCTTCTTGTGCTTCAGCATGGTGTAGCGGGCAATCTGCAGATCGTAGCGAGCAATGCTGTAGTTGTACACACTAAGACGAAATGACCTAAAGTGAAAGTGGTTTGTTATTAGTTGGGTGATCATTAGCGCCGATAGCATTACTTGATAGGGATCACTTACAGATCATCATCCTCGGCGCCCCAGCCCCAGTACACGTTAGAGAAGCCGTTGACGGTTTCGAATTGCTCTCGAGTCAGGGCGCTGACGCCGCCGAAAAGGGTTTCGTAGAATAGACTGTAAGAGGGAGAGAAAAAGAGAAAGAGGTATCAAGTTAACAGCAGTAAACAACGACAACTTCTTCGCTGCAGTAAAGAAGCCACACTTACGTGTAGTTGTGCGAATCAATCGAGGCGGACATGTGTCGCGGCTTGAGCGGCTCCGGGCAGCGGTAGAGGTTGCGATCATCCTCCGGCAGCAGGTCAATGTCGTGGACGATGATGCAGCCAAAGTCGGCGAAGAGCTTGCCCGCCTCGAGGAAGCCAACGTTGCTCAGTGTGCCGCGGTTGAAGGGCTCGCTGCCGGCCTGCTCCACGAGGAAGATCTGATACTCGATCCCTTGGCGCATCAACACCGGGTGAAGGTGCTGCAGAAAGGGACGCAGGTGCTCCTCTCGGTCGCGATACGGCACCACGATGGCCACCTTGTCCTGAGGCAGGCAGTTCTTGGGCTTAAAGTGGCCGCCCAGCTGAAGACCGCTGTCGGAAAGCTGCGCCTCAATGGTCGACATGGGTGGGGCACTTTGCGAGACCACCATTCGNGAAAATGATAAAGAGAGAAAGAGAGAGAGAGAGAGAGAGAGAGAGAGAGAGAGAGAGAGAGAGAGAGGAGAAAAACAGTTTGAGTTTTCATCAACAAAAGAATCACTTCAGTTTGAGCTTACTTAGGTTGACCGGCTCACAGACGGGACGCTTGGTGACGTTCAGATCATTTTGTGTATGATGCAACAGCTGATCCGAGCTCGACTGTGGCTTTCCGCTGTAGATTCCAAAGTTGATCTCACTTCCCTGAGTCGTACGATTAGCTTGCTGAGGAAAGTGCTTAGCAACTGCTCGTGAAAAGCCCTTTTCAATGGTGGTGTAATAGTCTTCGGTGGAGTAATGGGTGTAGACCATCCACAGCGACAGTGAGGCGCAGATGAAGATGATCAACTTGTTGGCGACCTTGTCGGACGCTGCCTGGCGTCGGCGAAGAGTGATCCACGATGGTTCACCGTCAGACTTCGGCAAGGGATATTTAATGCGCTGGGCGTCACGGTCCGCCGCCATCTTTTTCAGCTAATTGCACGGAACGAGTACGAGACTTTGAGAGTGAAGTAGAAGTCTTTGCCAAAGCTGATGCTTCTGCTGCCGCTGCTGGTGATCGACTGTGCTGGTGGTCGATACCTTTAGGTGGATTTGTACAGTTTTCCAAGCCCGAGATTTTAGAGTGAGAGAAGATGGGCTGAAAAGAACAGACAACTGTAGTGGTAGAAATAGGGCTTTAGAACACCTTTAGACTGATGCTGCTGCTGCTGCTGTCACACCTCATTATACTCTCATGTCTCATTAAAATCGTATGATGGTGGTGGTGTTTGTTGTTTTAACTCTTGTCGTCATTGTCTCCCTCTTTGTTTTTGTTAAATGCCTTGTTTATATAACAGCATCATCTACGCAGCGTCTGTCACTAAGGGCCACTGGTGCTGTGCGAAGCCAGTTATGGGTTATGGCTAAAAAATTCATCAGCAGAACCTTTAGCAGCAGGTTTCTTCGCTCTTATGAAAAGCCTTCCACCGTGAAGTTCATGGCGTGAAACAAACAAGGCACAACTTGTTGTGTGGTTCTCGGTAAAATGTCACCAGCAGGACAAAATGCTGCTGCAGAGGTTTTGTTGTTAGCATTTTGACCTAAAAGTCTAAAAACCAGTGAAAAGTTCTTTTTGCGCTCTAAAGTGGCAGAAAACGGCTTTTATTTACTTTACTGAAGCCACTGTAAAAATACACTGAAATTAGCCGCCACTCTTTCCAATGTATGCACAATGACATTCATAGTTTGATACCTTTCCATAGTCGCGAGATTCTCACCACCGGACAAAAAACTCGAGAATGTTTTTGAGCTCAAGAAGAAAACAAAAGAAAGAAGAACTTTTTGTTCTATTCTTTGAGTTTCTCAATTTTTAACTTTTGCCCGAAAGATGTCGCTACCGGTGGATCAGCTGTCAAAAATGAAGAAAAACAGCAGCAGAAAAAACATCAACAAACTGACTGCTGCTGCTTCGAAGAAGAAGAAGAACTGGTTTCGAAAAGTGGTCGCCAACGTTGACCAAGAAGCACCACCACTTCGCCTGCCGCGCATCAATAGCATCCGCTGTTTCCACTTCCACCACAACTTGAGAAGACTGCTGCCAATACCGCTGTCAGTGTCCGATGATACCGCCTTTCCCGCTGGTGTGTCCGTGACCGCTGTCCGCTGAGAAAGAGGGAAGAAAGAGATAAGAGCACACGCAGGCAATTATATCTGTGGCCGATGATTGCCCTGCACCATGCGCTGCCTGCTCTACTGCTTGAAGTGATCAATTCGCCCGGACAGTAAGTGCTTCATCGTCGCTTCTGTGATAATCATCCTCCTGCATGGCATCATTCGAGTAACCAAAGGTACATGTGATCATGGTTTTCCTGAAGAACAACACCGGTGGCGAGTCCTCCCAGCAGCAAAAGTCTTCCAACTTGAAGCCACAGGCGGCAAGTGACCAAGTGCTGAATAATAGGCTGCCGAAGAAGGACATCAACATGCTGACGGCAAAGCAAACTTCAGCCACCAGTGCAAACAGTGTTGCCGATTCGGAATCTCAACAGCCAAAGGCGAACAAGAAAACCGGTGAAGACGAGATGAAACGAGACAATCACTCAGCCGCATCAGACTCTTCCAGTAAAGTAGGCGTTGAATCGGCGAATCCTTTCACCGTCAAGCTGGAGATCAACATTGTCGTCGTTGCGCTGTTTGCCGTCGCGCTGGGACTTCGCCTGTACGCTATCGATCAACCTAACAGTGTTGTGTAAGTGATTGGTTTCGTTTTAGAAACTGTTTCGCCACTGATAGCCTCTTGCCGGTTTAGATTTGACGAACTCCACTACGGCCGATTCGTGTCACTGTACCTGAAGGGCATCTTCTTCTTTGACTCGCAGCCTCCGCTGGGAAAGCAGCTCATCTCCCTTAGTGCCCACCTCTCCGGCTTCCAGGGCAACTTTGCCGACAACTTTACTAGTATTGGACAAGGTATGGAAGGGAAAAAGCTTTTTATCCTGTCAAGAATTCTAAATTTTATTGCTTGTTGCCTAGACTACGACTCCAATGTGCCAATTCGTGCCCTCCGATTTATGCCCGCCCTCTGCGGCGCCATTCTGGTGCCCATCGCATATCAAATTGTCGTCGAACTGGGCCTCGGCCACAAGACGGCCCTACTCACCTCGCTTCTACTTATCTGTGGTATGTAAGCTCATTTTGTTTTGTAAAAAAGACACTAACTAAAGATGTCCTCAGAAAACTCAATTCTCACCCAGTCGCGCTTCATCCTCCTGGACACCATTCTGATGTTCTTCTCCTTCTCCGGCCTCCTCTCCTACCTGATGGCCCGCAAGAGGCCCACCTTTTCCGGCGGCTGGTCGGCACTGATGGCCACATCCGGTCTCCTGCTCGCCTGCGGCGTCTGCGTCAAGTACATTGGCATCTTCACGCTGCTGCAGGTGCAGATGATGGCCTTTGCGGATGTGTACCTGAAGATTGCCGACAAGACGATTAGGACGGTAGGTGGAAAGAACTGAAGCGGATGTTTCTATTTTAACTTTTTTGCCACCTTTTGTTTAGCTCCACCTCTGGCTCGAGTTTCTCCTTCACCTGGTGGCCTTTATCCTTCTGCCCCTGCTCGTCTACTGCCTCGTCTTCTACGTGCACCTGTCGATTCTGGTGCGCGCCGGGCCGCACGACAACATCATGACGAGCGCCTTCCAGGCCAGCCTCGACGGCGGCCTCGCCTCCATCATCAAGGGCCAGCCGCGGGACATTGCCCACGGGTCGCAGATTACGCTGCGCAACACCCACGGCCGCACCTGTTGGCTGCACTCGCACCAGGCGCTCTACCCGATCCGCTACCCGGACAAGCGGGGCAGCTCGCATCAGCAGCAGGTCACCTGCTACTCCTTCAAGGACGTCAACAACTGGTGGATTGTGAAGCGGCCGAACATGTAATGTTGAGGAAGGATGGGTGGCTTTCAATTTCGAACATTTCTAACCTTTTATTATTCTCTCATTGGAAACTCCAGCGACGAGCTGATCACCCACGAGCCGCGCGACAACATCAAGGACGGCGACGTCATCCAGCTGGTGCACGGCCTCTCGGGGAGGGCGCTGAACAGCCACGACATTGCCGCGCCGGTGTCGCCCTACAACCAGGAGGTCAGCTGCTACATTGACTACAACATTTCGATGGTGGCGCAGAACTTTTGGCAGGTGAAGCTGCTGAATGGCGACGACACGGGCGGCTACTGGCACGCCATCAACTCACGGCTGCAGCTCATTCACCTCAACTCCAGTCAGGCGCTCAAGGTAAGCGCTCGGCTCTGTGTTTGCATCCTTTTAGAAATGGGTTCTAACCTGCTATGTTTGTAGATGAGCGGCCTGCAGCTGCCCGCCTGGGGCTTCCACCAGCACGAGGTGGTCACCGACAAGGCGGTGAAGCACCCGAACACGGTGTGGAACGTCGAGGAGCACCGCTACACGAAGAGCGCCGGCGACGAGAAGGAGCTCGAGCGGGAGCTGGGCGCCGCCGAGTTCGTCCCGCTGGGGCCGACCAGCCTCTCCTTCTGGGAGAAGATGGCCGAGCTGCAGTACAAGATGCTGGTGGTCAACGCGGAGGCCGTCCAGAATCACATGTACAGCACCGAGTCGCCGGTCGACTGGCTCCTCCTCACCAAGGGCATCGCCTACTGGCTCAGTCCGAGCAGTAATGTAAGTGAAGTGGGGGAAAGTGCTTTTTTAAAACCTAGATTTTTACCTTATTTTTTCATTTTAATAGGCTCAAATCTACCTGATCGGCAACATCACCATCTGGTACCTGGGCCTGGCCGCCATTGCCCTCTACTGGTCCCTTCTTCTCTTCTACCTTCTCCGGCGAGCCAGGCTGAAGCACGACATTGATGAGGGTAAACATTTTTGTAGAGTTTTCCTATGTAATCTCTGATTAACCTTTTTCCACTCACTCCAATTCTCTAGAGCACTGGAATCGCTTTCTGCTGACCGGTCAGGTGGCCGCCGTCGGCTACCTCCTCCACTTTTTGCCGTACTTTCTGTGCGAGCGGACGCTCTTCCTTCACTACTACCTGCCGGCGTTGCTCTTCAAGATTATCCTCACTGCGGCGGTGGTCTCCCACCTGGAGGTCTACATCACTTCAACCCATCATCAACAGCAGCGAGGGCACATTGTTCTTGCTCTTTACGCGGTGCTGGTCAGCGCCGCCGCCTACACCTTTCTCCAGTTTCTGCCTCTCAGCTACGGACTGCGCGACCTAAGCGCCGCCGACATTCTCCAGCTGAAGTGGCGAAAGACCTGGCACCTGCTCATTCACAAGCAATAGTCCTGGGGGTGGTGGTGGTGGTGTACAAAAAGCAATGTGTTTATATAATACTTATTTATTGCCCCTTCCTTCTTCTTTTCCCCTCCGTGCTTTGATTAAAAGCAACAAAAGCAACAATCTTTTACAATGAAGTTCTATAAAGTTCTAAACTGATGATTACATCAGGTTGATTACGCTCTCTTCGAATGGTTCAGCTTACGGCGCTGCTGCAGAGACAGAGGAAGCACGTGCTCAAGAATTTGCTTTTCTGCATTTCATCATTTCCCGTGCCCTTCACACTGCTTTCATCAACTGAAGCTGTGTGTCGGCTCTGTGTTTTGCTTTCACCACCACCACCACGTCTTCTGACCTTCAACCGACCATGCCGCCTCGACGCCCACTCCCGGACCTCTGTCTCATCACAGTCTTGAAGATGCTGACACCGAATGATCAACTGAAGGCCAGCAAGATGAGTCCTCGCTGTAAAGTTCTGGTTCGTGCAGCCAATCGTCGAATGACGTCACTGGTCATCTCAAGTGAATATGGTCTTGAGAACATTAAGTCCAGTCTCGACTTTGCCTACCTTTCATCCAGTCCAAGCATGCAAGCGTTGAAGGATTCTGGTGAGTCCTTTCCCGACTACCCGATGACCAGCACTCCACTCAGCAAGTGGAACTGTCTGATGTTGGACAATGAAATTATAATTGGCGCAATAGGCATTGAGCAGATTGTCGATATTTTTTCGGCAGTCACCGATCTTAAGTTGATCATTGACGACGAACAACTCTTCTATGTTTATATCGAGCTGCTGGAGCATCCGCAATGGACCAATCAACTGACTAACTTGATGGTTACAAACCACGCTCATTTGTGCCCTTATTCTTCGCTGGAACGTCCTTTCATTGCCGCCATCAACAGACTTACTGCCCTCCAGTTCTTGGCCTTAATGTGGTTTAATTCAGGCAAAGAATTGCCCGACATGACAATACTCAAACAGCTAAAGGCTATTGTGTTCAAATGCTATGGTTGGACTGTACCAGATTTTTTAGATTCTCTCAACCAATATGCATATGAAAATGCTGATCTTCAAGTACATCTCCTAACATTTATACCAAAACCTCTGATCGGTCTCAAAACACCTCTTCGCAATCGCATTTTCAGATGTGGAGATGAGTCAAGCGATTTAACAATTGATCACGTTCCGCATCTTTGTTTGCAATTGCCTTCTCTCATTTCACTGTCAGTCAGATGCACTAAACCATCTCACTTTAGACCGATGTTCACGGCCCTCAGCAAACTTCAGCAGCTGACTCACTTGGTGTTATATGCAGTATTGGAGGTTGAAAATCAAACCGAAGAGTTGCGTCCACTGGCACAGCTGACCTCTGTACGAGCACTTGATCTGCACTTGAACATCACCTCTCACTCACCGGTGCAGTGGCTCAATCTGCAGCGGACACTGCCCAACTGTCAGGCTATCCATGTCAAAAGTTTTCAGTGTGATAGCTGTAAAATCAGTTTCTGTGGTCGCATCGAACCTGGTGTTGACTACGAGTGGGTTCCAAACACCCCTAAAGCTCTCGAATGTCTGCGGGCGTCATTTCTCAATCTCCACTCTGGTGTCCGTCTTAGCCGAATCTTTGTGGGCGGCAATGAACCGTTCTCTACCTTTGAGCAGAACTACTTCTCGTTTCAATCAGTGAGCAGTGATTCTTCAGCTTCTCCTTCTCAATAATTGTTGTCCTACTATCTCTTCTACAGACACACACACATTACCACAATTAATTCCTCCCCCCCCCTCTAATTTGTTATACTCCAAAAAAGCCCTTATATCATGATGTCAGAGTAAATATGATCCCCTTGTAAAGTTTGTAAGTAACATTGTGACACTTTATTTTTCATTCAGTGAGCTGAAAGAGTGGAAGGAAGGAAGAAAGAGAAGGAAAAGAGAAGAAAAAGAGAAGAAAAGGNGAGCTGAAAGAGCGGAAGGAAGGAAGAAAGAGAAGGAAAAGAGAAGAAAAGAAAAGAAGAGACGAAAATGTGTGTTGTTTACTTCTGCGAGTGAAAGAAGA